CACTAAGATTTTAAAAAGATTAACCTTTTTATCATTCCTCCAGGTTTTATTGCAAACAAAACTCCTATGATATTTGTATGTCATGGCGGGACTCATTCTTTCATTTTTCTTGCATAAATTCTTATGAGTGGGTTGGCTGTAGTGTATGGTAAGTGTGTGTTTAACTTTTTAAAAACTGTCAAATTGTTTTCTAAAGTTGTATCATTTACATTCCAACCAACATTGCATGAGCATACTAATCGCTTTGTATCTATGCCAATACTAAAGATGGTCAATTGTTTTAAGTTTTGCCATTGTGATATTGTGTGTAGTGTTTTAATTTGCAATTCCTTAAGACTAATGATTTTGAGCATCTCTTTATGTTCTTTTTTGTTGTCTGTATATCATCCTTCCTTGGCAAAAAGTCAGTTAAAATCGGTTGCCTTGTTGTTTATGAGAATTGTGTTTGTTGTTTATTCGAATTTATTGTTTTAAGAGTTCCTCATAATATGCTGTCACAAGTTTTTGGCTTCTGCGTTCCTCTTCCCTTTTTCTGGGATTCCCATTACACAGATGTTAGTCTGCTTCATGCTGTTTCCCAGTTTAATTTACTTTTCCCAGCATTTCCTCCTGGTTTCATTTTGCGTCCTCAAGTTCACTCACTGGTTTTTTAGTGTCTAGTCTGTAGGTGATTCTACTTACTGGAATTTTCCCAGCTCAGGTATTATAATTTTTCTCTCTAGAATTTGGATTTGGGTTTTTGGTATATTTTTTCTTTGTTTCCTTATCATGTGTAAGTTTTTCTCCAGTTTTGTGAACACACGGAGTAGATTTATAGTAGGTTTTCAAACATTTGTCTACTAGTACTGTCATCTCTCTTTTAATATTTATTTTTTAGTTGTAGTTGGACTCAATATTTTATTTGTGTATTTCTATGTGGCACTGAGGATTGAACCCAGGGCCTTGCATGTGCAAGGCAAGTGCTCTACCACTGAACCCAAGCCCCAGCCTCTTGTGTCATTTCTAAATCTGTTTCTTTAAAGAAATGGTGTTTTTCTTCCTCCTCCTCCTCCTCCTCCTCCTCTTCCTTCTCCTCCTCCTCCTCCTCCTTCTTCTTCGTATGATGATGGGCCATATTTTCCTGCTTCTTTGGATTAGTTTTTTGAGTATGGGAGGTTTGTTTTAATACATTTTGGATTTACCTTGTTCAATAAGAGATTCCTATATTTCTTAATCCATGTTGACCTTTGCTCTGAGATGTAGTTAATTTCTTTAAAAACAGTTTGATCTTGTTGGTCTGGGATGCAGTTAATTTCTTTAAAAATGTTTGTTCTTTTTCAGGCTTGACTTAGAGCTTTGGTAGGTAGACCAGGACAGCCATTACTGTAGGGATATTGTTGCCCCTCTAAGAGGGAGTAGCCTTCTGTGGATCCTCCTCTGTGCCCACAGGTCAGGAGCTCTTTCCACCATGGTGGTGGGAGGAAATACTATCCTTAGCCTTCGGTGAGATCTAAGGATTGTTCTGCTTGCTTCTGTTTGCCTCCACCATTTCTTCACTCACATGACTCAGTTAAAGTATTCAGGGGATAAGTCTGGGCTTACTCTCTGCATAGCTCTAACTTTTCCCTTCTCTGCTCCATGAATTCCAGCTTCCTTGGCCTCTGCTGATTCTTAACTCAGGGGACAGCCAGGCTTTGCTTGGGCTTTCCCTCCCTGCTCTGCCACTGGATACTCTCACCTGCTGTAAGCTAGGGCAACCATAGGGATCACTTTGTATTTTATCTCTGAGATCACTGTCCTGTATTTTGTTGAATGTTCCTCATTTTGGCTTGTCTGATGTTTTCCTTATGGTTACTAACGCTGGGACTGTGCATTTGGGGGAGGTGCTAGTTAGCCTTTTGTCACTGTGCCCAAAATACCCAATGAGAACAACTTAAAGGAGGAAAATTTTAATTTGGCCCATGGCTTCAGAGGTTCAGTTCATGGTAGGCCATCTTCATGGCTCTGAGCCCAAGGCAAGGCAGGACATCATGGCACAAGGGCATGGCAGAGGAACACTATTCATGGTGAAGAAGCAGGGAGCTGGGAAGGGGCCGTAGAGAAGATGACCCTTTCCAGGGCATGCCCCCAGTAACCCACCTCCTCCTGCCATGCCCCACCAGCCTACAGTTACTAGTCCATTCACACTAGGATGGAGCTGAGTACAGTGCTCATAATCCAATCATTTCACCTCCTAACATTCCTGCATTAACACAGGAGATTTGGGGGGACAGCTCATATCCAAACCACAATGGGGGAGGAAGACCACAGAGGTGAAATGCCATTCTCACCACATAGTATCAAGGACACAGGTTACCATCACAGCTCATCGCTGATAATGATTACCTGATGAGGGGATGCTGGCCAGGTTTCCCCACTGTGGTTACATTCCTCTCAATGTTTGCACATAGTACACTTTGGGACCAAGTCACCAAGCACAACCAACACACAAAGGACAGGGAAAGAAGCTCCACTCCTTTGAAGGTGGAGAGTCTACATATATTATTTGAAAATTTTTTATATAGATTTGTTTATTCTCAGTTTTTATTCACTTATTACTCAATGATTTATTGATATGAATGTGGACTCATGGGTATTTATTATGTTCTGTGGATTATGACCCCAAACTCAAATTTCTCTAGCTTTGTCCATTGCAAACTTTTTCAGGACAGCTTCCATGTGTCTTTGACATGCTGCATCTTTTGATAACTTACTTACTGTGTTAGTACTTCCTTACTTTTTGGAAGTATAACATGTTCCAGGCTTATGTTGTCTAGTCTCTGCTCCATCCCTAGAATCAATCATTTCTCCAAGGAACTGTGGTTCCCTTATTCAGTAGCAATGTTAGACAGCAAGATCTGGATCCTGGAAGTCCCTCAGCTCTTTAAAAGCAAATTTATTGAATTATAGGATTCTACATAAAAATTCATAATGACTTCCTGAGGTTATACACATTTTAATGTATAATGATGATCACCATTAGAATATCTAAAGTGGCATTATGAAAAGAAATATTTTAAAGTAATGAGATTAAGCAGTTGAGGACATATGCACTTAATTATAAATTAATTCAATAATAGGGTTGCTTCCCAAATATCTGGTAATCAATTTTAATTAGTTGCATAGTACATGCACTGTGTTGATTTTGAAATAAAAACTAGACTTTTAAAGTAAATGATACTTAAACATTTACTGATTTTAATTGAAAATAATAAAGCGTTTGAGTTTTATAGTTACATTAAATGAGAGTCATTATAGAACAGGGTATTTTTAAGTTAATAATGATTGATTTGAAACCCCAAATTAACTTCTGTACTCATTAAATAATGTGCTTCAAACCTGTTTTGCTTTTACCATTTTTTTGGTACCAGGGATTGAACTCAGGGGCACTCAACCACTGAGCCACATCCCCAGCCCTATTTTGTGTTTTATTTAGAGACAGAGGGTCTCACTGAGTTGCTTAGTGCCTCGCCATTGCTGAGACTGGCTTCCAGCTTCAAGATCCTATTGTTTCAGCCTCCCAATCCGCTAGGATTATAGGCATGTGCCACCACGCCCGGCTTCTTTTACCATTTTTTCATATCTTGTTCTACATCCTTTGGTGCTATCTATGGTCACAAGCCTCCTTTATACTTTTGATACATTAATAATTAGTTCTAACCCCACACTAGGCCAGTGCCCTGTCAAATTCCACAAGGAAGATACAAATAGAGAACTTATCAGGAAATCCAAAGCAGAAAGGGAACATTTGCTAACATTGCCCAGCATCTGGAACAATTTATCTCTAAAAAAGAGATGTGTTTTGAATATGTTTATCCCCACTCAGATTTCTTTAGCATGGCCTCACTTACTTTCAGATATTGTTTTTGTCCCCACTAAGTGCCTTGATTTCCTGGTCAGTCATTTCTCCCCATTCTCTCTCTTGATGCTTCAGAACCATTAGTATTTGTCTTCGTTTTCAACCCTTTACTACAGTTCAGTCTGACTGTACTTAATATATCTTCTTTTATTGCACTGGGTTCTTTGGTTATTTGTTAAATTTTCCTAACAAGTGAAGTTACTTGAAGCTTGTAATTTATAAAATTCACCTTTTTATCAACCCCAGTTCTTAGTATTCTTAGTCTTCTATTAGCTGTACTATTACTTCTAATAATTACTGGATACTTATTGAACATAACTGATATTCAAATAGATGACAGTGATATGTTGCTCACTGATTAGAGCAAAAGTAAATATTAAATTCAATATTTGAGTTAGAAATCATGGTTCTTGTTATTGTAATCGTTCCATGTTTTTTTTTAACTTTAAGGCATCTAAGGCATCATTTACTTTCTGAAATTAAATACTGATTTAAAATATTATCACTTTTTGACCTGTGTATTATTTTTTCAGGACTGCAGTAACAAAGCCCAAAACTCGGCAATTCAAAACAACAGAAATAAGATTCTCTCACCATTCTGGAGGCTGAAACCAAGGTGTCGGTAAGGCAACGTTTCCAAAATCTGTGCATGCCTGTCTTAGTTTCTGGTGGTGGCTGGCAACATTTGTCTTCCTGGGCTTGAAACTACATCACTCAGTCCCTGCTTCTGAGGTCACGTGGCTTTATTTCCTTTATGTCTCTGGGTTTCTCTGCATCCTCTCCTCCTCTCACAAGGACACAGTCATATTGGATTTAGAACGAATTTGATATGACTTCATCTTAACCAACTACTTCTGCAAAGATCCCATATTTCATGTAAGGTCACATTCTCAGTTGCTGAATGGACATGAGTTTTGCTGTGACACTATTCATCAAGTAAGGACCTCTATTACCACTTCTCTTTTTTCCCCCTCTGCTTATCTATCTCCTTTTCTTTTTACAACTTTAATCAGTGACAAGATAAGCAAGGTACTGGTTGCATTCTTATTTGCTCTTGATGACCTTTTACAAATCATTCCTTGTTACATTTTTTTCAGCACTCAGAAGATGTAAAATCATCAATAACTCATGACAATACATTATTTATTTTAAACATGCTTATTAGTCAAGCTTCATGTCTTTTTTGGGGGCGGGGCTTTTAGCTTGTCTTCTTTAATTATCCTGCTTTTTGTGCTTGCTTGAATTTTAAAGATCAGTCAATGCATTTTTCATGACTTTAAATACATTTTTTGTTTCATTTTCAAGAAGACTTTTTAAGATGGAAAATATCTCTATCAACCTATTCTTTTCTCATCTTTAAAACAACTGGAAATCCTACTTGTTTTAATTTTTGATGCAGACATTTATGGTCACCTAGCAAAGAGCTGGCTTTGAACAACAAAGTCCAGTGAGAGAATGTGAGATGTACACAATATATCATCAAAATGACAATGCTATTCCTGTATCAAGGTGAAGAATGAGTCTCTTACTAATAGTCAATATTCCCTTATTTATCTCTTACTAATATTCCAGGCTAAAAATAGACATCTGAGTCTCTCCAGGTAAACCAAATGAACTATTTGTGCAAACTTTTAAAGAAGTAGACAAGACCAATGTGAGCAATGGACTGGCAGGGAGTTAGTTAGGACAGATGTACAGTGGCAACACAGAGGACCAGCTGTGCAAGGACCCAGAAAGCGTGTCCCCCAACCATACCCACCAGAAAACAGAAGTCTAGAAGGACTACTCCCTTCATCCCTTCCTCCTCCCTCACGTCCTTGGACTGACAAACACCTTCTCATCTGAATGCATCCTCATTACTTTTCCCCATCTGTATTGTATCAACTTGATAATGCTTGTCAGTTATCTATTGATAAAAAATCATCTCAAAGCTTCCTGGCTTAAAATAAAAATAAATGCATGATTTCACTCTTCCTGTGGGCCAGGAATTCAGGAGCAGTTTAGCTGGCTGTTTCTGGCCCAGGGTCCTTCGTGAGATTCAGTTAAAATATTGGCTTGGAACTACAGTCATCTGAAAGCTTGACTAGACCTGGTGTCAACACTTCTAGGATAACTGATGCTGCTAATACAATACAACTGAAACACGATGTCATGTTTCCAGCAGGTACAATACACAACAACCTTAGGAGGACAGACCACAGAAAAGATGTAGTAAAATAATCAGAAAGTCATGAATTTTAAGTATTTTCCTTTTGTTTTAATATAATTTCATTTTAATTTTAATATAATTTTATTTAATTATGAGTGTGTAATTTAATTTTAAACAATGTCTGTCTTACAATCAGTTTGCCAAATTCCTGAAAATTCACCAATAAACTCAAATGGGCTGGTATGAGTTGCCTTCTGCCACATTCCTTGACCTTACGCTTAGCCATGTGACTTGCTGTGGGCAATGAGGATTAATAAACATGACACAGAGAAGTGCTTGCAGGTTATTCTTTACTTTTTTGCTCCTCTCTTTTAAATATGGAAACATTTCTGGGCTGGTCTGTTGAAAGATGAGACAGTGAAGCAGAACTGAGTGGTCCACTTGTCTCAGTCAAGGTCACCTGGACTAGAAGTCCAGCAGATGACCCTAGAAATGCAGAAGCCCAGTCAAGATCAGAGAGAGTCCAGCCAAGACTAGACGAACCAATCACATGACCCACAGATTCATGAGTTAAATAAACGCTTAGGCCCTGCCCCCTCCCCAACATGTAATTATGCGAAGGAGGTAATCTCAGAGATTATCTTCTTGTGGTCACTATTGATAACCACTTCAGTTTGGGGATAGGAACACTTACATTCTTCAGTCTTTCAAGGCTTAGATACAGGGATTTTAGTCAAATCAGACTGCAAGTTAGAGAGTAAGCTTCCTTAGCATAGTCATGATTCCTTTCAACTCGTAGACTTACCCTAGCCTCAGTTTGTTTTTTTAATAGTGGTCAAAAGGGAGACAGTGAACATTAATATTTTGTATTTTTCTTACCATTTTTGTCAATCCTATGTTCCTATCATGTGCCTTCCAAGACATGGCACATGTGAAATTGTGATCCATTGTTTTGCCACCACATGATCATGACTAGCCTTCTAGTTTCTAATTACAAAGCCTGTACCCCCTACTGTTTGTCCCTGTTAAGCCAATGCTGCATTTTTAGATACTTAAATATGTAACTTCTGATCTTTTATCTCTCTCTCTCACACAGTGTATGTGCACAGCTTAGAGGTAGGGAGTTCAGAGCTAATATTTTAGCTCCATATTTTCAGAATCCACCTCTCAAGGCCATCAGCCCTAGGGGTGGCTCCATACATGTTCTTGGGCCATTGGACTTGGGCTGAATTGAACCATCAATTTTCCTGGTTCTCTGGCTTGCAAACAGCAGGCCATAAGGGCCTTCGTAATGATGCTAGCCAACTCCAATAATAAATCTCTCTTCTGTTTCTTGGGATAACCCTAATACTCTGTCCCAGAGACAAGATTCTCGTTATTTTGATGCCTGTGTCCTCTAATTGTAAACATGTCTCTCAACTCTTTCGTGGGGTGTATAGTCCAGGTAGAATCCTTAAATTCAGTTGTTGGATTCCCTTTCCCTACCCTTACCTTAGTTGACTTTTGGCTTGGATTGCATTTTATATGAACTAAGTTAAGGTTTACAAAAAACTTTCAAGTATGTCTTCCAATGAGGAAAGGATAGACCCAAAGACCCAATGTATGATTTAGTTGATGCTATAAGGCAGAATTCTTTTTGATAGTTATTATTATTTTGATAGTTTTTCATGCTCTTCAAAAACAGGAAACATATGTAAGAAGAATCTGAGTCCAGTATTAATAAAGAGGACTGGGAGTATTTCTGGAAACAATGTATTTCTGTCTTAGCTCAAGGGAAATTCATACTGAGGCACTGACAGAAACTGTCTATAGTGTAATATAAACAATGCAAAACAATAAAACAATGCAAAACAAAATCCACTTAAGTATGCCAGAAATTAAAGAGACTCCTAATTTAATCCTCAGCTCTGTTAAGAATTTATGCACCTTTTAGAATGGACTATTGTATAGATGATTGTATTAAATTTTTTTCTGAGAAAGTGATTACCAGGAATAAACATAAATTTAATAATAAATATGCCTGTCAAGCTACCTTCATTTGCTCCTGTAGAATTACCAGCACAGGAGATTTGATAGATGCCCAGTGTACCTGTTTTACATAACTAAATGGTGAAGTATACACAGATCAAATAGAAACATAAGCCAGATGATGGTGCAATTGGTTGTGTGCAATTGGTGGTTGAAATTGTACTTAAGCACAGCAATCTGGTTTCTGCCTATTTTCCAATCCTTCCCCATTACTCTGCTCCAACTACAATGACCTATGTATTTGCAGTTATCTATACATACCATAGCCTCATACTTCTGGGTGTTTGTAAACACTATTCCTTTGCCTGTACCACCATTTTTCTCCTTCACCTCATTCTTACGCATCCTTTGGATGACAGTGTTGCCAACTTTCCTAAGAAGCCACATCTGAACCCCAACACTCTTCCTATCTCCCTACTGCAGCATGTTGCAGCATAATGTATTATAGTGGCCTTTCTTTGCCTAGTAAGCTACTAGAGTGAGGATGGTCTTGTTCATAGTTGTAGCCCCAACACTTAGCACAGTACATGATATTCAGCAGTTCAATGACTAATAAAGTAAATTGAATACTACAATGACCATCCCAATCCCTTTCCAGAACCTACTAATGATTTGGAAAGCAGAAAACAAATTTAAATCAGTTTTACAGATGACATAAAGTGGGATAATATAATCAAAATTCAAAGAAGCAAATATTCAAAAAGAATTCAACAGGCTGGAAACCAATGAGGTAAATTCTAGAGAGAAATGTAAAGTTCTGCATTTGTTCATACTGTTCAGTGGGTTTCAAAGTGTAGCCTGAACTAATGTTGGAAACATATAATTAAAATCAAAACCTCTTGCCAACCCAGAAAACCTTTATACAAAGACAGAAGAGAAAGTTTTTAAAAAATTGTTTTTTATTGAATAAGCATTAGAGTAGAATGTTATGCACATTACAAGCAATTCACTGATTGCCAAGACAGAAATCTCCCCCTTTTATATAGCTGAACAGATATAATCGATTACATACTTCTCAAATGATATAGCTAGTTCCTAAGAGGACTCATTAGCACCATTTGTCACAAAGTTCATTCTAAATTCACTTGGTAATTTTGATGACCATCTGTGTATGTTAATTGTTCAAGGGAAAATAGATTTCTCGTGTCTTTATGACAGGAGGTAGAGTTGCAATTTGGAGCCAGGTGTCCTTCAAAGCTAGGCTTCTATCTGTCCAAGAAACCAGGAGCCAGGGGTACTTTTCCTTGTTTAAATTTCAACAGGATGGATACCAGGTTCTTGAGGAAGCATTCCTGGGTTGTATAACTGGCAAGAGGCTAATTTAGCTTTCAGAAGGATTTACATACATTTCAAACAAGCGCAGACTTTTTTTTTTTTTTTAGAAGTTTTACACATACCTGTAATCCCAGCAACTCTGGAGACTGAAGTGGGAGGATCTTGAGTTCAAGGCCATCATAGGTTTAAAAGAAAAAAATTACTCTCAGTTGGGGGACATAGTTCACTGGTAGAGCATTTGTCTACTTGTAATGTCTAATGAGTTCAATTCTCAGAAGTACAGAAGAAAAAAAAGAAGGCTTAAAAGGAAGTGTGCCTGTGTGTGCACACCTGTTTGCTCATTGGTGGCAGAGCAAGAGTAGGGGAGATACATCTTTCTTTTTGCACTGGGGAGAATTAAGTAGTTTTCTTTCTTTTTTTTTTTAAAAAAATATATTTAGTTATATAAGGGTACAATATCTTTGTTTATTTATTTTTATATGGTGCTGAGGATAGAACCCAGTGCCTCACATGTGCGAGGCAATCACTTTGCCACAGAGCCACAACCCCGGCCCTTAAGTATTTTCTTATTTCTAATTTATATTTATCCTTATGTGATTATCAGCATCACTTAGGAATTTTAGTTAGAGGTACAAATTCTCAGATACCAGTTGAGCAACTGGGGTTTTAGATAAGTTCCCACATGAGGCTAATGTTGCCTAAATATTGAGAATTACTGGAAAGGACTGTTAGTAGCAGGCCATGTGAAATAAAAGACAAAGGATTTGGTATTTTGCCAAAGTGTATACTGTACAAACCACTCTCAATTTTGGTGTTTTAAAATTATATATTATTTCTTGGTAAAGCAACATTATTTGCAACGCTCTAGCTTCTTGTTTCATTTGTACACAATTATCCTATTCAAATAACAAAGTTTGTGCAAAATGGGAAAAAAAGGATTTAATTTTACTTGAATTAATGGTTATCTCTAATTTGTGTAAGTAGTCCTCTGCTCTGCCAGCATGTTACCTTCAATTAATTGTCAAGAAATTAAGGTATCTATAATAAAAATGTTATGAGCCTGTTTAGCCAATAGTCAAATCTCAATGACTTGCACAGAAAGGGAATAAAAGCAATTTTTTAAAAATAAATGTGCTTATTTAGCTTTAGAGTTAATTCTCTAATTTAATCTATTAAGAATTGCCTGATCATTACTTGATTAATAAACCAAGAAAAGCTAGAAAAGTCAAAGTCCAGAAAATTGTGCAGTTTTCTTAGATGGACTTCAGTTCACCTGGTTCTCTTATGGGGACCAAATCTTCTATCAGTTTCCCAATTTTGAATGTAAACTGGAAATCCCTGAAGATATGCTTAACGACAAATTGCAGTGAAAACTGCAAGAATCAGGGCAGGGAGAGAAGAGAGTACTTCGATGTATGAGTTCATGTGAGTAGTTGGGGAGCGAGTCCTGTTCCCTGTTGGCAGGGGCCAGAGCCTGCCACAACCTCATAGAAGGCAGCTTTGGAGACCCAGATGAATTTTTAGGCATGGGGCCAAAAAGTTTGAGAAAAGTCTTAGTAACTCAAAAATTTGGTACATTCTTGAAAGCAGCCCTAATTAATGTTCATGGATTTGTCATTTTATGATCTACAGTCTTATGGAAATGTCTTCTTGAATTCCTCATTAGAAATCTTCTTATTACATTGAGCCTACCTTCTTCATCCACAGTCTATCCATCGAGGGCCATTTTGCAAGATTTGGTTAAAGACAAGATACAGTATAATTAATGCTATGGATTTTCCTCCCTAAAGGCTTTCAAGAAACCTTTTGCTTAAGAAGAGTAAACAAATCCCCGCCCCCCCCTTTTTTTTTACCTTCTTTGGCTTCATTAAAGGGAATCACACAATTTCAAACCAAACTTTAAAGATCAAGTAATGTCTTTAATGAAGAGAAACTACAGCTCCAAATGTAAAATGAATTTTACTCAAAAATAGGGAGCTAACACTCTTCCATATAGCATAAGGGAATAAAACCAAGTGGACATAACTCAAAGACTCCACCATACCTATTATTATTAACATTATTTTGCTAGGAATTACACACAGCTTCTACAGAAATACAACAAAACTGCCCAAGATTGGTTTTCTTTCTAGCTTTCTAAGTTGAGTGCAATAAAAAAAAAAAAGGGAACATAAAATAGTCATAAAACAAGAATCAAATATGTAAAAGAAGCATTAACCAAGAAGCATTAACAAGACATTAGCCTATGCATGGGAGTTCTTTTTTTCCCTCAGAACACAATGATGTTCCTGAAGACACAAATCTTGTTTAATCATTTTTGTTTCTTCTGTAAAACCAAGTACTGTCTTAGGCCTTACGCATTCATTAAGATTATGTGTGAGTGTGTGTATGAGATATATATATGGCGGGGGACAGAGGGATACGTTTTTAAGTAAGTTCTAGTCCAGTGCCTGGATTTCTTGGACCAAAAGGCACCATCTGCAAGGCTTCTGTGAAATAAAATGTGTAAAAACTATATAGTTCCAGACATACATGTTAAAAATTGGTCACCAGGCACACTAACCCTTAGAAGTTGCCTCTTTGGCCTCAGCTATCCCAATCAGTGTGTGGACCCTTCTTGGCTGTTTTTCAAAGTGGTCAGAAGCAGTCTTCCGAGAGGACGACTTGAGTCTGGAATATCTATTCAAATTCTTAGAGATCAAATAACGTCTTTAATGAACAGCAAACTTGGGTTGTAGCTGGGTTGCTGGGAAGTGCAAAGGCATTGGGGCTGGCCAGAACATTTGGCGCCCAAGTTTCAGACAAGGCCAGGAGCCCAGAGCTACTTGTCAGACAAAGCCAAGCAGGCCCAGGTTCGTGGTGCGAGCAAGGCTAGCCCCGGGCCGCAGCTGTCCCTCCAACACGGGGAGTCCCGGCCGGACCGTTTCCTACCCATTGCGACCAAAGGCCCGCTTCAGCGCGTCCACGAAGCGCTCGTACTGACCCAGGATGGGGCTCTCCCTCTCGATGTAGGGGACCACCCACTCCTCCGCCGGCCCAGAGAGGCGGCTGATTACAAATGCCACCTTTAGGGTGTCATTCGAAAATCTGGTCTCGAAGAAGTTCACGTAAGATGCTGCTTGGATCAGAAAATCGGGGAGCCGAGCGGGGTCGCCGTTAAACGTCTCGGGAAAAACCACCGGGCAGGTGGGCGGACGCACCTGGGCCAGCAGGTTGGCTTTCTCGCACAGCAGGCGTCGGACCTGGTCCATGAGCTCGTTGTTTTCCCTGCGCAGAGCATGGTTCTGGGTCAGCAGATCCTGCATCATGACTGCCAAAGCGTCCATCCCAGGAAAGCCTCTTTAGGCCTCACTCCCTGCCGGGCTCCGACTCCGCCGCCGCGTCGCCGGAAGTGAGTCCTCGGGGGGTGTGTCCTGCCGGTAGCACGAACCGCACTCCGCGGAATCAGAGGGCCTAGGCTTTAGGACGGCGAGGAAAGGTCTCCGGGGCTAGTGGAGGGAGAAGTGGGAGTCGAGGACGCTGGAAGCGGCGCACGGGAGCAAGAGGAGGAAATCTGAGGAGCCGGGGAACGAATCCTTTGGCCCTAGGGCCGCGCTCGGCGGAAGGATCTGACTGCGTGGCGGCGTACTCTTACTTCCGGCATTCTCCGGAAGCGGGGCGGGTCCGCAGATGCTTAAAGGGAAAGGCAGTCGCACGGTGGAGTAGTAGTCATAATATTTATGGCATTCGTTCGTTGCTCTGAGGTTTTATTTGTTTTTCCCAAGGCCTCCCAGCTACAAGAGGGAAATTCCAGCGAAGCCCTCTGTGCTTACGTAGACTATTCCCAGGGCTCCCATTCTGACTGGGGGACTCCAGAAAGATTGTGCAGAAGCACAAGGAGCTGCTGTCATTTACACAGTGCCCCTTCCGTGCCCATCTCATTTAAACGTCCCGATTCTACGAAGTTAATGCTGATTTTCTAATTCAAAAGGCCGCTCTGTAGTATATAAATGTGCTGGGGATGAAAAGTCAGTGGAATGTTGGGAGAGTGCCAGGTCTTTCAAGATAAACGTTGGCTTCAAGTGGTGGGCAGGGACCGCAGATGGGGAAGAAAACACATTCAGCTGAACGCTGTCCGTGTTTCTATTAATAAAAAGAACCTAATGGCATTTGGTCCAGTCCAGCTACCACTGCCGACGCTGGCAGTGAGCACTGGCTCTGCTGTCATAAGGCTTGTCTGACTTTCTTCCCTCCCAGCCAGTCTCAAATTTTTCCATCAGTGTGATGAGTTAGGTAAAGAGACTTTAAAGTGTGTGTAGGGGGTGTCTGCATTCAGAAATTTAAAGGACAACCAGCTGTAATTTTACTGGACAGACTACCAAGAACCAACTCTCAGGTGTTCAGGACTCTAGTTCTTTGTCTTCCTATATTCAAACAGGAGATACTCAAAAGTTGACCTTGTGGACTGTCTCTTGTCAGAAATACCCATGGTGGAATTTTGGGAAGAAAATTATTGGAGGGGATATTAATGTGTAGTTCAGGGGCTCAGAAATGCAAATAGTATTTCTTGAAAAGTAATAAAATTTACTTTAAAGATGATTTTTAGCTTTTGAGAGATGAAAACTTTCTGCTAGAATTTTTTTTGGACATTTATGTGCATATGGCCGTTTTAATTCTGGGTTTTAATTAATTATTTTTTCCACACAATACACTTGTTTGTTTGTTTGTTTTTATTTATTTATATGTGGAGCTGAGGATCAAAGCCAGTACACTTGCGAAGCAAGCACTCTACCACTGAGCCACAACTCCTGCCCTGGCTTTTAATTTATTTACTTGACTTTTTACAGAGCCTACTTTTTATTCATAAAATAATATGTTTTCTGGTGAAACTGCAGGTCATGAATTGGGTTAAGGAAATTTCCAAAGCATACTACTAACATAGGAAAAATTTATTTAAAAGTAGGACATCCCTTTAAGAGTCAGTCCTAAAGGGGATCTTGAAAATCTGGAAAGATGCGTGAAGAATTTAATAAGATTGCATTTCAGATCTCAGGCTTACTCTGAAGACCTTTTAGTGTTTGTCTATTCTTTAATAGCTAGAAATTATTCTCTTTGCTGAGGGAAAGGATAACTTGTCATTTGTATTCAATTCTTTTTTTTAATAAAGGAAGACCATTCACTGTATCAGTATAATTTATAGAACTTATCTGGACTATAGGTAGTATTAAAATGTTATTTGAAATTTAAAAGCCAAAATGAACTTTTACTTTGTCCTCAGTATGAAATATGTAATTATGAACCTACATATAAATTTGGAAATCATACTTAGAATACTCAGAGTGTGCTCGCCACTAATAATGGTCACATAAATTCTTTGGCACATGGGGCCAGGGTTGTGGCTCAGTGGCAGAGCGCTTGCCTAGCACATGTGAGGCACTGGGTTCCATTCTGAACACCACATAAAAATATTGCATCCATCTACAACTAAAAAAAAAATCCTTTGTACTAATTATGTATTGTAAAATTGTTTTTTAAAAACCAATGTTGCAGGCTGGGTTGTGGCCCAGCGGTAGAGAGCTTGCCTAGTACATATGTAGCAAGGCCCTGGGTTTGATCCTCAGCACCACATAAAAATAAATAAATAAAATAAAGGTATTGTGTCCAACTACAACTAAAAAGATGTTGCCAAATATATGATAGATGCTCAATAAAGATATAATGTATGTTTTCAAGTTATGAAGCACAATAATAAAGCAAACACTCCTGAATGTATGACTCATATTAACACCTTGATTGTTGAACTTATGTTACTCTCCATCATCCTGTAAAGTTAACCACTAACCTGAACTTTGTGTTAATCATTATCATTTCTGGCTTTTAAAAAAGTATAATTTTGTATATATATCTACATATGTTTTTTAAAAAGTATAGTTCGTGTGTATGTATATATAAGAATATATAATACATTAGTATAGCTTATTTCTGAGCTTTAAAAATAGTAAAATTATTTTAGACTTCTCTTGCAACTTGCTGCATTAATTCAAGAGTATGTTTCCAAGATTCCATGAAGTTGTGTCATGTAACATTAGTTTGTTTCCTTTTTTTTTTCCTGTGCTAGGGATTGAACCCAGGGGCATTTAACCATTGAGCAATATTTCTAGCCCTTTTTAATATTTTATTTGAGACAGAGTCTCACTGAATTGCTTGAGGCCTTGCTAAGTTGCTGAGAATGGCTTTGAATTCGTGATCCTCCTGCCTCCGCCTCCCTAGCCGCTGGGATTACAGTTGTGGGCCACCATACCCAGACCAACTGACTCACTCACTTCCTTCCTTCCTTCCTTC